ATGCACCTCTCATCAGCAGGGCTCCAGACGGTATCACCCGGACAACGGCGGATGTAGGGCCATCCGTTTGCACACAGATAGAACACCTGTTATCGGAACGCAATCTAAACAACCGTGGTCGGATCTCTGACCAGATACCATGATACCATCTACTACTTCTTAAACGAAATTAAGAATATGCGATCTTAAGAAATAGAAGAATAGGCTGACTGTGACATAATGCAAGTTCGTTGTGAATGTACTCCGGAATAATTTTCTAACCATCAAAAATGAAAATGGTCAGACACTATGCATGCAACTACTATGTGCACGTATGTGCAGAGAAATGCGGCGTACGTGACAGTCGGTCGCTTCCGCCGTGATGTCGGATCCGCCGAGACGGCGCCGCATTTTCATATAAAGAAGATTTATGCACTATAAAGAGTAAGCAGTACTAAGCACAGTGTTCATATGTTGAAAGACAAAAACCGCGTACGTGGCAGTCGGTCGCATCCGATGAGAAGTTCAATCCTAGGTCAAGACAGTCAATCTCTGCTTGGACAGGAACGCCAAGACGCTTCTCTATTCCACCGCTAAAAGGAGCGGCCACCGCTAGAGATACAATAATGCAGGAGTGTTATCAGCTAACCCGTAAAACGTACATATGCACCATATTCACATCATCCACAATCGGCGGGCAGTCTGAACGTCAGGTGGTGAAACTGAAATCACCAAGACATTAATAACAAAGCGTACGGTAGGGAAGCTTAATGCGTACGGTATGCAAAGATTTTACATTCATCATTTACATCGTTTTAAATAAGTGGATAATTATATCGAAACTGCGAGAACTCAAAGATCCACACATCATCAGTGCACTTTGTGCGTATGCTCCGATACTTACCCACGCAGACGAGAGCAGAGAGTGCCACGAAGATCTTCATCTTGCTAATCCGCTTAGAATCCGGTACTGCATCAACAGATTGGAGAGAGCCTTATATAGCACCTGTTCTACCCATTGAACTAGTTCTACGTAACTGCAAAAGCTATAAAACGCTAGATGTAAAAGTGCAGACAGGATATTAATGCGTGATAGGCACCAATAATACGCCTACGCACAATTTTTATGCCATTCCTGTGGAGCCATCTTGAGTGCATGAAAAGCCATAATGTAAACTCGATTTGGACAAAACGCTATGCCCCTTATTACCACGCTGAAACCAAATTCTTTAATCATAATTACTTTTTAATCAATAACTTTGTGGCACCTGCTTCTTTATAAAGACTGAATTGATGAGAGTAGTACGTTTACCAGATGTCCGTGTTGTCACCCTGGTCTACATAGTATGGAATACACTTAGCAGAACGGGTTGAAATATTTAAAGTTACATCTTTCTATCGTTGATATATTCTCGCGAACATACTAATGTTCTGTTGCCACCTACATACGCTAGATGTATAGAAGCACGTAGCGGTTTATTACGGTGTTATACTGCCGCAATTATTACTAATAGGTCGTTATTATATTTAGGCCGCTCCTTTAAGCCTGAAGGAAAACAGAGTTTAATTCGAAATCAGTTATTGCTATCACAATAGCTATCTTTATTACCTTTGTTTCGCTTTTTCTTTTTTCTTCCCATCCCTCCACACCTTTCCTTAATAATTATCGCTATCTTTCCTTCAACCCCGTCATTCTCTAGCACCCTTCTAGCATGTCTTGCATCTTGCTTCTAGCTCTCTAGCATCTCTAGCTTCTTGTTTGGCACGGACGCGCAAAGTGTTGTCAATTTTTGTCCCGGTTAGGTAAATTGCACGCTGTACGTTGAATAGCATACTACGGCTTGAAAGGAATATCTGTAACTACAGTTAACATAAGCCAAATCATGATAGCTGTCCGCGCCCAGTGTGCAATATTTCTCTGCTACTACGTTAATGGTAATGAGTTTGCGGTTGCTGCCGCAGTGTGGCACCACCCAACGACCTCATTGTACCTAACCTTCATATCATTTGCGATAGTGTGAATTATCCTATTACTTGAGTGGAATTCTGTGATAACTTGGTTACGAAAGATGTTGTTTACACCGCTAAATCTTTCAAACCTTTTTAGAAGCTCATAATGTTAGCGAATACCGTCGCCATGAGCTCATAGTGTTAGAGAAAACCAAAACAAGTCAATACGCCTATAAACCAGTCATATGCAGAGAGAAAATTATTGGAAATATTCGAACACATAATGATATTTAAGAAATTCCGCACGTTTCTCTTTCCACACGAGCTACAATAAATATGAGTATATATATATATATATATATATTTATTTATTTATCTCGAGAACACATGGAACAGTGATTCATTATGCAGAGATTGGCTATCTAAAAACATTTTTGCTAATCGTGGCATTTCTACAATAGCAGTACGATATTCGCTAATATAGGCCTAGGTTACGAAGTAGTCACAAAACCTTAAATGTGTATGTATGCCAAGGGCATAATGCAACAATAGATACAATACGATTTTTGGGTCATTTAATAACTCTTCTCGCGTGTAACAACTGGAACTAATAAAAGAAGCGTGTACTTGAGGTTTGTAGCAGGAAATAAATTGCAACATATGCAACGCGATCGATATATCACCTCACCCTCGACAAATTTGATGCAGCATGAGCCCTCACGGTAATCATGAGTCGCCACTAAGAGTCAATTCTCACAGCATTTGCAATAACACGAGACCCCAATGTAATAATATACGAAAGTGAAGTGTGTTATATTTATGCACCTAGATGCGAGTCATCGAAGCGAAAAATATATGCGTTGCCGAACAAGAACAGGGGTACAGAACCGAGGTAGAGGAGAAGGTGACGGATAATAGAATAGAAAGAAAGAGAGAAAGAATTGTGTGTGTGTGTGTGTGTGTGTGTGTGTGTGTGTGTGTGTGTGTGTGTGTGTGT